CGCAATCCGCTCACCGATCTATCCGATACGCCAGGCGCACCTGCACGAACTAGGAGCTTAGCGACCCACATGAAATGCTCTTTAACTGTTCCTAGCTCAAGTTCCTCCTCAATCCACGTACTACGCTCCATATCGTCCTCGTCCAGGATTTCTGAGCCGTTCTCAGAGCCATCTACTGCCAATTCTGGGTCACCAACTCCACAGAAGTCTTCATCTGTGGGATCTTTTGCAGTTGTGTTCTCATCCGGCGGGTTCAGAAGCTCGTCCACGGACATTGGGTCCTTAACGTGCAGACGAGATAACATCGTCGCAAGCTCGGCGGAAATTGCATCATCTTCATCTGGTTCTTCGTAGACGCAGTTGTAGTAGTCTAAAAGCCCGGTGTGCTTCCAGCACCTAGAAGAGGGACGTTGGCATAGCATTCCAGCAAGTAATACTCCAAGAAATTGCCTGTCGAGTCCCCACCTTGTACAGTTTGGCAGCCGAGATGACGTCCATCACTGGATCATATTTGTAGTCTTTGAGCGTTAGTGAGTGTAAGTCGAACTGACTGGGCTGGAGAGGTGGGCATGGTGCGACGAGTCAAAACCAGAAATGGGAGATATATCCATTGTGAAGCGCCAGCGACGAGGTAAGCCAATCGTTTCCACTACTGGATGCGGTGCAATGTTCCAAACCAAAGGTATTCGGAACCATTCTTATGGTACATACGTGAATAGGAATACCCTTAGACAGGAATAAACTGTGGGTTCCAACGCGATGACTACCGAAGGGATCGTCTGTAGTACTAGTTGAACGCGATACAGTTCCTGTTCTGGCTGTGCAGGTTCCCGCGGAATTGCTTACAAAACTAAATGAAAGTGATGTTCACCATATGTCGATCAAGGGATCTAATTTGAGATTATAGACAATCCTTTTCGGAGTGATATCTCAACCAGTGATTGACTCCCTTTAGTTAAGGACGTTGGTGAGATCTCCCGCCGGCCGTCAGCTTACAAGCCTGAGTTAAAAATACCTCTAACCTCCAGATTGTACTTAGTGATATAATAATCGTCGATTATTACTATCAAAGCGGTCTTAGCTATTGATACTGTCCGTTTTATAAATCTACGTCCGAATAGATACAGCAACTGCACTAGAGAGCTGTAGTTTCTGGAGTTGGAGTAAGGAATATCTGTTCAAAAATCCGAATAAGCTAATCATAGGCTTCTTTTCAGATTTTTTCGGATGCTCCAATACTTAACTCCAGTACAGTTATGATATGGGCTGTTACTCAAGGAATCAACTTTGGAGCAACACTTCATAACCCTCGATTAGCTTCCGTAACCTCAAATAGCTCCAGAAACTACAGTTCTCTATTTGCTTGTTTCGGCCCCGCTTGTGACCCAATTTCCCTCGGAACGCACTCTACAGAGAGTAAAACCTCTCACTGCTTGATGCAGTAGACCCACCGCGTCAGCATGAAGAAAGAGCTTGGTCATCAACTGTAATCGACACCTTTCAGTCAGCAGTGTAGCCATAAAGATGACGGTACCCTTATAACGGTACACCTCTAGATAGTGATTCCTCCGGATAGTAATTGAAGTGCATCCATTCGTTATCACTACAAAGAGGATTGTCTGTATACAGGTGTATGCATCGATATCAATGCGGTATCCGGCTAGGGATAGTCGGATTTCGGCCGAATTCATGGACATTTTCCCGTCTTCGAACTGTGAGATAAATTTGGATTAAAATTCAAAATTTAAAAGATACAAATGCAAAAAGCGGTGTAAACTTACACAACGATTTCAAA